ATATATATATTTGAAATACTAAACAAGATGATGAAACTTAATAAAATTTCCTGTCATGTTCTTGGCATAAATAAAGGGTCTCGCTGAGTATAGCGTTCATTCAAGAACCTACATTTCTAGGTAAGAAGGAAAATAAATTTATTGTACAAAAAGTATAACTTCTATTTAAAAAATTTCAGAAAAAGACGGGAAAAGTCATCTTGTCCAGGGCGTACCCCGCCTCTCACTCCATGACCTCCATGCAAACCACACAACCAGCTGGTATAGACAACGGAGGATGGAATGAAGGGCTTGTAACGCCATTTATTATGCACTAGATGGTGCTATTACATCATTTTCTCTATGAGTACCCAACAACTTCAAAAAGTTGAATTATAGCTCAATGTGACATTTGGCAGTACAGTCAATAATGTTGACCAAATTACATTGGCTGTTATTTTCCTTCCTGAAAACCGTACGTGTGCTACCTGAAGCCCAAAGATTTAATGGCCCAATCACACATTATTGATCATACGTTCTGTTTTTGCCCTGCTGCAGACCAGTCCTGGGTCCACCGGACCCCAATAAGGGACAAGGGTGTACAGAAAGTGGATGGATGGACATTCTGCTCTTGCTTTTTATTTATCCGGCTGATACACCTTGTATTCAACTCTGGATTGAAGAAAGACATAGTTAGGAGTTTCAAAAAGATTAAACGATGAAACACATCTGGCTTTGTGTCTTGTTATAAGAGATATCTCAGAAGGGCAGAGTCAATTATAATGCCCTGTGAAAAACCGGTCACCAAATATAGATATGTTTGTTCAGTTCTGCTTTGATGACTGAAATGTTTATCTAGAAAATCAATCTCAAGTACACATTCAGTGTTTCCTTTTAGCCAGCCTCTGGAAAGAAAACGACTACATAAAACTTTGTATTAAATAATAGCCTGTTTTAACATACACAAACCACACATTATTTCAAAGACATTTTTATTATGAAAAATATATAATAGATAAAATCTCCACACTTCCTCAAATCCCAGCCTATTATGAAATTTAATCCACACAGGAAATTAAAGTTTAACTTGTCAGAGCAAACAGTTCATATTGATTAATTAGAAAACAACACACCACAGCTATCTGAATGTATGGTTCATGAATGCATTGATATAGCAACTCGTGAATCATTTCCACAATAAATATGGACCAAAACAACAGCTCAAGATCAATTTTTCAGTTTTTCATTAAGAATTATTTTTTATAGTCTAGAGGAAAAACTGTGAGTCAAGTGTAAGGCGGTGCAACACAAACCAGCATCAACTGTCTTTAATATCATCAAGGTCAAAAGATGCACTGAGTTATCCCTAATTTTAAAATATATTCAACCCAGGAAATTATTACAGACATGAGTAAAGGACAAGATACAAAAGGGAAAAAAAATAAAAAGATTGTCTTCTCAGTTGCTCTGTAACAAAACATGTTATAGCACTGTGCAAAAGGCTGAAGTCATTGTCTGAGTGATAAACTTGTAACCTCGGATGAAACTAAGAGCAAAAAACAGGAAGAACCTGCAAAGAAAGTTGATCTTTAGCTTACATTCATCATCTTCGCCTCAACTGGTAGTAGTTACAGTACTGACTGAAGAAGACAGAATGCTGAAATTGAATAAAATTGTTTTAAGAAGCACCAGTTGTGACCGTCCTTTCTTTATGTCTCACATTAAAAATATAAAATGTTTGAAACATATTTTTCTTTGTCTCAGTTTTTTAAGAACCAGATATTTCAACAGTGTTGGGTACATGTTTCAGAGCCACTGTACATACAGCTAACATACAGTTGTAGTACAACACAGGAAGAATTGCTCAATACTTAATAGTAGGTTAAATGTCCTTGGGACAAAACATTCAATTTTTTGGTGCCATGAAATCTCATGCAGAAATATGCAGCCCACATATATTTCCTTCACTAGTCTAACCTTTTTTGTTTGCAACTGATAATGTTTTGTAAATAATCCATTAATTCTTATATATCTATATATCTATATATATATATATATATATATATATATATATATATATATATATATATATATATATATATGCATCTTGAGCATTTATCTTCTCTAAATTAACTCATTCAGCTTCACCTTAGATTTAATCTGAAATATATATTTTTTAAATAATTGCACAGTATTATAATTCTTATGGTGTGCACTTGTCTATTACTCTTTTTTATTTTTACCTTTGTGTGAGAATGCATGCTCTCACTGTGACGTGCGGCTGTGTTTCCCCATTCACACATGCACACACTCCCACCTTCCTGTTGACCCTGCATGATGTTCAGTTTGCGAGTGACGCCCTGCTCTTTGAAATTCTTTTTAACCCTTGCTTCTTGAACTCACAAAGAGGTAGGTAAAAGGCTTGCGCTGGTATCTCTTCTTTCAACTCAACCAATAATGTTCAGTTAGTTAACTCTAACTCTACAAATAAATAGGTTGATATCAGCTGCAACATGCGAGTGGAAAAACTGGCCTGGTGAAAAGCTTGGAAGTTTAAATCCAGCAAATGTCCTCTAAGATTTTAATGGTTACAAATCTATGAAAAAGCAAATAGGAAGTTGAGCTACTACTGTTAGATTACGTTAAAACATTTAAAAAAACTATTATAAATTATTCTGCAGTCTTGTCAATCAGCATAGTGATCTACAGTCTCATGTCCTTGCTTGAATTGTTACAAACAAGATAAAGAAAGGTGGATGTTTCCTTTAAAACCCGACCTTTATACAGCTAAGGTGCATAAAGGTCAGTGTTTAAACATTGTAATATTCAAAAGCATTTAAGTGAGAATCACCTATTGCTTCATTCCTATGCTTTAAACTTTTTCTATTTGCATTTTATAATGTGTGGTTTTAAGATTTATTGTTGGTCTCAAACTATCTGGTATCACTCAGCTAACAAGATCTAAATAACAAGTGCATAGAACCTACAAAGCAATCCCTGAGAAACTTGTCCAGAATCTTAATGAATTACTGAAATAACATCCATTAGGAAACTAAGAAAAAACAATGTTTTAATCCACTTGACACACGGATAGAAATGATCCAGTAGTCAGTGCCAGTGCAATGTTTCTGTCCATGCAGAAACATTGCATGGTCATTTGAGGTGGTGTAGACTTTATAAGCTCCACCCTCCTAAATGAGACATTGTTCAGTTTTGTTACGTCTTTTCTAAGCGTCGTCACATTTTAGTTCTGGGTTCTGTGTGCTGTGCCACATCAGGTACATCTGAGCCGGGAGGAATCTGTGCACCAGCAAAACATCTTTATAGAAGCACGGGCTGAATTTGTCTACTTTGTTGGAGGGAATGTGCAGCCCCGCTGTCTTCACGCCCATGTGTGAGGACGGGCCAAGTCCGGCTTTGGCCAGACACATCCCCATGTAAACATCATCGATGGGAAGAATGGGTATGGATTTGGACATGCGGTATATAAGCATTGCTGTATATCCTGACAGAAGGAAGCCCCCTCCGCCACAATACGGAGGGTACGAGTTTGATTCCTGTACCTGAACTGGGACAAAATATTTGCTCCCCGTTGCTCTGATGGGCCCCACATTCTGGATCAGATGACCAGTGAAGAGATGCTTGCTCCCCTTATTTTCTTTGAGGCTCTGCAGATACACAACCATGTTGTTTGTGTGGGCAAACACGTCGTCGTCCCCATTCAGGAGGAAGCGAGCATTCGGACAGTTTCTCTCCATCCATTCCAGGAAGAGTATTTGCTTCAAAGTGAGGTTGTAAAACGTGTCACTGAAGTCCCACTGGAGGATATCTCTGTGCTCCTCTTGCTCCAGCTTCAGGAGATTGTTCAGTCTTTCTTTTTCATAACTGTCACCTGAAACTCCGGAAATGAAGATCCTTCGAATCGGCATGCCGTTGTATGACCTCTCTTTACCCCATGTTTTCCGCAGCACCTCCCGCCGTTCGTAGTTGGCCGGGGAGCTCTTGATGACCAGCAGAAGGAAGACGTCTCCCGATTTCTCGGCTCCTCCACATTTATCAGGGAGGTCCAGCAGCATGGGGAAATGCCGACAGTGACGATAGAAGAGAAAGTCTTTGATATTCTCAGGAAGATTTGAGAAGCCTGTGATGTTGGCTGCAGTCAGATTTTGCCGACATTTTCCCCAAGAGTGCACGTAAGAGATGTTTTTGTTGAGTGTCTTTTTTTGTCTGTTATTCTCGTCAGTGTTCTTCCGGAAAGATTTCTGATAATCAGAGTACCTAAAGAAAGGGAAAGCCAGCAGGCAGATGGCTCCAACCAACAAGAAAAGTCTTCCCTTGATTTTTCTCATCTTGGAAGCTCTGAAGTGGAGACAAAACAAAGGCTTAATTAAAACAGTTGACACTAACAAGAACAAGAAAACACAAAATATGGAAAAACAATAAATAATTCATGTAATGAAAGCATCTAGTTAAATACTGGATCATATTAAAAAACAATATGATCACTATCATCACAGTGGATTCCTGGTTTTCCGTTGAACAGCTCTCTCTAAAAATGAGTACAACTTCATATTTTAATAATTTCTACACCAAATAAGCATTAATGTAAACAGTGGGAGCTGTCCTAATACCACAGAAGCTAACATCTGCGGACTTGGTGAACAGCCAATGAACGTCAAGGGAAATAAACGATTAGGCTTAATTGGCTGCTTTACACGTGGCAGCCAATAGTGTGTCCTCAAATAATTCAGATGTCCTCATGTTCCACAGAAAATCAGCAAATACTGAACTGAACTTTTTTTGTTGTTTTGCTTCAGAACCTCCATCTCAGATTGAAAGTAGATACGGACACTGTAAAAACTACAGGACCTTAAACAAATATTCATCCTTTACATTTTGTGATCATACGCAAAGACAACTATAAAGTTGGAAGCGGCATTCTTATTAAAATGTGCATAACTTTAGGGTCTTTTAAATATTATTTTTACTTTGTCCGTACTTTAACCAGCACTAAGGAAAACCACACACCATGGATTCCACCTTGGCATTAATTTTCTCACTACAGAAATATTTGCGGAAAAAGAGTACACCCCAAAAACCTTTAGCACACACAGAATAGGTACAACTTCCGCTAATAATCAAGGAAGTGGTGAGTGTTAGTGTTAATGCTAAAGCAGATGTGCAAGCATCAACTTTTTGCTCAACGTTAGTGAAAAGTGATGTTTCACCACTGGCTGGTAGAGTGATAGAGATTTTTGGTATTATCATTTTGTTATTACTTTCAGTCTAATGTTATTGTGATTTTTAGTTTAAAGTGTTTCTTCCTTATGTGTGTATAAACTGACCTGGAGGTTACGACTGACTGTTTATCTTGATGTGAGGCAGTTAACTCTGTGTTTCCCAGGCCTTAATTCTTATCAACCAGAATACCTCCTAACTGCCTGTGAGTAGTCGAATTTTGTCTCTTGTTTATCCTCCCTCTTTGTTGACAGTTTGACCTAGAGCTGAACTGGGCTCAGATCGTAGATCAGATATCACACCTGGAACTGAGTTGCTGGTTTGTTTAGGTTAAATGTTTTACGACCTCTGTTTTTTTTCTGGCTGTTCTGCTTTGACAATAAAACAGGGGCTCGCGTGGAAGGAGATCAGAACTCTCTGTGAACGGCCTGGAGAGGTCATGGCGAAGAGTTCTCCTTTTGCAAAAGCTTGTCTATAAAATTCATATACGTTGTCTGTGGTCTTTTTATATAGGTTCAAGAAAAAGTACCTATCAAGAGCCTGAGGAAATGTTCAGATTTTTAATTTAACACCTTTTTTTCTAGCAGAGGCAGTTTAAGCTTAAAAAAAAAAAACACAAAAAAAAACACAAAAAAACTCTTCATCCCCCAAAACCCCAAACTCCAGATAAATCGGAACCTAAAATTGGCTTTTGAAATTGTAGCTGCAACTTTGAGTCTAATTTTTAAATCTCAGTTTGTTTACCAATGTAATTTTTAAGTTGAAAATTTCCTTTTGTTATTTCCCTGTCACAAGGAAGAGATCCAACTTGAAACAATGATGTGTCCATTTCTAAATTATTTGTGCTTGCAAACATATTTGAATCCCTTATCAGTGAACAAGTGCAACATTTGGTCACTAATTCTACTCTGTCAATTTCCAAAACAGGATTTTGTGAACAAACAAAAATAATTCTACCACTGCAGCACTAAGTGACACAGTGATCCCACAATGACTGGAAAATTAATACAATGAAAAGAAAAAGATTAATACTTTAGGTAAGTTCTGGTGGAGTGGGTTTGGTGGTGAGATATAATTAAGGCTCAGCTGCAAGGGAGACATTTTGCTGTGACTTAGAGAACAGTGTCCAATGGGAACGATTACCAAGGCTGCAATATGTTTTTAATTAGTCACTGATTTCAAGACGCATATTAGAAGTCCCTAGAGAAGAAGGAGGCTGTGAACTCAGAGACTATGTATTGTGATAAACAACTCGACTGCTTTGTGTAAACAGTCGAGCAGTCGAGCAGTACAAAGGCACCAGTAGAAAGGAAATGTGTGAACAACGCAGGACCTTGAAAAAAAAAAAAAAACTTGGTAATGTAGTTTTGGCTAAAAAAGCTGCGCTGCTTGCAACAAATGCTAATAATAAACAGCATGTTGAAATCATAAATGGTCTGGCATTTTCAATTTTGGAATTGATCTGTAGAAACATGATTTCCTCTGAAGGCAAACATAACAGCAAGAGTGTTTTGTAAGAGTCTTCGTAGCCTCTGATCCAAAGTGTGCTAAGTTTGCCTGTTTCAACAGATCTGTCAAAAACAATGCACAAACGCAAAAGAGGAACATAAGCTAATTTTCTTATTTTTACATAAAAGTTCACCTACATGAAAAGATTAGATCAAGTTTGACTTTGGGCAGGAATACAGCATAGATAGCAAACCACTGAGTCCTTTGCTTCTGAATCTCCAGCACCATCACTGTTGCCTCGAAGCAAGAAAGTCTTATATTCAAATCCTGGCCTCTTTTGAAATATATTGCGTTTCTCCCCGTGTGCATGTATGAGTAATCCAGTTGCCTCTCACAGTTAAAAATCATGAATCTTTTGTCAATTCTCTGTGTTGTTCTGTGTGGGACGTTGCTGATCCCCCACTTGACCAGGAAGGATTAAGAAAACAGACGCATGTACTGACTCAACCTCATATCTACATTACAAAATCTGCACTATCTCTGAAACAATAGGTAGTTTTTACAGGAAGCTTTTATAATTTATGTGGTTTCTTCAGCATAGATTCTACACTAAAAAAAAGGTCATCAGATAGCTTATCGAAATGCTTTTTCAGATGAAATGGGGGCATTTAATATGACAAAGTGGAATACTGAAGCATTGTGAAATCTAGCATATCTGTTTGCTGATCTTCTAGGAGTGCACATGTTAGGAATTACAGAAGGTCACAATATGAACATGACTATCTGACACATATTTTTTGTTATATTCACCTGACTAAAATTAGATTTAAGTATCTTGTGAAGTTGTGTCATGACATAAGGCAATTGTCAAAATTTAGCAAGCAATTGAGAATCTATGTTGATACTGAAGAAACCACATAAATTATGAAAGATTCCTGTAAATTTTGCTGGACAATACATTTCCCAGAACTTAAAATATGTTGATGATGTCATAATAATGCAAGGTCAGCCTCTCAGAGACTGCTGTGCTTTAAAATTTGTACAGAGCACTCTACACTGGAACAGAAAACCATTTAATTTCAAAAATAAAACACAACAACCAAAAACAATAAATAAAAAGGAAATAAAAACCACACACAACCACGACTATACATAAAATGGATTATAAAGTCTTTGTAAACAAAACCAACACTTAAAAAAATATTTACCATCGGAATGGAAATGATTGCGCTCATTTTAAGTCATCTTGAGACTATAATTGTTTAATTTCTTACTGCGACAAGCTTACATGACTAATCAACACGCCTTGTTAACAGGAAACCATTAAACGGGGTTATGTTCACATTGAAAACAACCAGAGGTGTTCAAAAATGTATTCCTGAAAATAAATGGCTACAAAAAACCCCCCGTCAAAACAGATGAAGTTTAATAAGTTTTATTTTTCATATTCATGGGTGTTTGGATTATTGTTTCTTTGTATAGTTCATTGTTATATGTCCATTTTCACACTTTATGCCTATCTTCTGTCTCTTGTACATTTGAATTTATTTTTCTTAGATGACTGTCAGGTCTATTTCTGCTTTTGGTATTTTTTGTCTTAGTTTTGCTCCTGGGTTAATTATCGTCTCTCCTTCTTCTGTTTTCTTCTTGCTACACCCTTTCCTCATTTCTTCTGCTCTGTCTACTTGGTTCTCATGCAACTTTACTACCATGAATCAGTGATCAAGTTCATTCAGCCTCGTTGTGTTTTGCCCATCACACTCATACCACTCGCCTGATTTTCTTGTTATTTAAGTTCATTGTTCAGTGCTGGTTTAATTTGTTTTCTGCTCTCATGATTGTAACACTATTCCACTTTCTGCTCCAAGTTCCATGCTTGTTATTGCTGTCCATGATTACTTTGATAAGTGTAAGTTTTATTTTGCTACTTTTTTTTTTAATATGCATCATATTTTGAGTTCATGGTTCATGGCACTTTGAATAATTTATTTGGAAAGCTCTCACAGTGCACATTTCAATAAAGAAACACTTTCACTTCATCTGCTGTCCCACGTTCCAGTTGTAAAGTATCAATAAGCTGCTTGTCAACTACAAACAAATAAAGAAAGTACTTCCTTTTTTATGAGTGCAGTCAAATGAACAAAATGCCACAAGCATATTATGTTTACAAAACCAAGTTTATATTTTGTATTACATTTCTTTGCCAACATTAAACTTAACTCGAGAAAGTTTTTGTCTCTCTCCTTCAGGTGAGTGAGGAGGAAGCATGATCATCATAAACACTTTCTGAGCTTATAGTTTCAGTTCTTCAAAACTGACAATGAATGAGGAACCAAACCTTAATCACACAATGAATGTCAGAGTATGCATTAAAAAACCTGAGTGTGTTTCGCAACATGGTGCCAGAAGCTGTTTTATTGTGTGTTATGTACTTTGGCTCTATCATTCAATCCACTTCCATTTGAAACAACTATAAAGTAATTAATTAAACTGACTATATCTATCATAACTTAATATAAGAAGGACCCACTTGTAAATAAACAAGCCATACAAATGCTTGTTTTCACATTTGAACATGAGCAAATATAATAACTACATACTTTACATTTAGGACGCTACAAAAGAACCGGGCCTTGTTGCAGTTCTTGCTTTGATGTAAGATTTTTTTCAAC